AATGGTTTTATCGTGTTGTAAAATTTAAGTTGCTATTTGCGATAATCATAATTCCAAGTACTGTTGTGTACACTTACGACAGAAAATTACCAAATAAGTTAAGAATGTCTTTAAAAATAATTATTACTAAAATAGTCGTACGTATTCGTATTTACCAGTAATATCAAACAAATAGCATGTACCTAGACAAGACATTGTATGACGTTTGTACCTGTGTATTTATAAATAAACATAATAATAAAAAAGCCTCTTGTTTAACAATTAATTTCCTTTACAAAAACTGCGATTCAATGACACCGATTGTGGTTAAAATAGATAACACCTGATGTTTATTAATTGTTAATACTCAATTTGAATATGATCGGAAATTCGATAATAAGAGGTCTTAAGTATTCAAATATTGTCGTATTCTTTGAACCGTTGATACTGAATGTACATACAAACAGGATATTCCCAGGATTTGTTCATTGAGAATTAAAATCAATTCGAAGATACTCATACGGAAGCGGAATTAAACTTTACACCTATACGTTTCATTTACGTGGTACAAAAACCATTAACTGCTAATAAAATTTTATTTTACATTACGGAAAGTAAGTTTTATTATTTTGCGTAATTGATGATTCATATCATCCGTATACTGGAAACTAAGCACACATGCAGTATAAATGCATTGTAAATCCCAACATTTACACGCAAAACTCTCGAAGCTGGACTGCGACAAAATGGACAAAGGTATTATTTTTTAGCGACAAATTACCGACAAAGTATAGTCCTTAGAGATTGATTGCCCTCCAGTGACCTTTCGCTGATCAGCTCATAGCTTGACTTGCGACAAAATGGGTAAACGTATTATCTTTCAGCAACAAATTAGCGACAAATTATAATCCTTAAAGCTCAACCGCCCTTCAATTGCATTTCGCTGGTAAGCTTGAGGCTAAACTTGCAAGAAAATGGATAAAAGTATTATCTTTCAGCGACAAAGTATTGTCCGTAGAGATTGATCGCCCTCCAGTGATCCTTCGCTGATCAGTTCGAAGCGGGACTTGCTACAAAATGGACAAAGGTATAATCTTTCAGCGATAAAGTATAGTCCTTAGAGTTTTAACGTCCTCCAGCGATCTTTCGCTGATCAGTTCGAAGCGGGACTTGCGACTAAATGGACAAAGGTATTATCATTCAGCGATAAATTAGCAACAAATTATAGTCCTTGGAGTTTGACCGGCCTCCAGTGGTTTTTCGCTGATCAGCTTGAGGCTGAACTTGCAATAGAATGGATAAAAATATTATCTAATGGTAAATAATAGTCCTTACAGCTTCACAGTCTTTCACTTGCTTTTTACTGATCTGCTAGAGACTGGACTTGCGACAAAATGGACAAAGGTATCATCTTTTAAACGACTAATTAGTGACAAAGTATAGTCCTTAGAGATTAATCTCTCTCCAGTGACTTTTCGCTGATCAGTTGGACTTGCGACAAAATAAACAAAGGTATTATCTTTCAGCGACAAATTATAGTCCTTAGAATTTGACCGGCCTCCAGTGGCTTTTCGCTGATCAGCTTGAGTGATAAATTATAGCCCTTATATCTTGACCACATTCCACTTACTTTTGGAGCAACAATTTTTTGGACTTGGTAACAAATTAGCGACAAACTTTATTGCACTTTGTCGTGCTAGGTTGATATATTTATTGACGGATGTTGTATCTTCTTTTTTGTAAAGTAAATTGAGTAAACAAAAACGTTGTCACTTTGTAGTGTTTATTCCATCCCGTTTCATGTCACAACCGTTCATAAACAGTAATTTATTGTGAATTTATTAGAGGTCTTCGAGAGCCATTGATTCTTTTTTTTCATAAAGCCTTGAACTCTCATTAATATTAATACAGAATTCAATCATCCTACCTTTAAATCCTTGCATTTACACTGTTCGATCCAATAGCAATTAAATATGACAATAAAAGTGTTAGATCCTGGTGAAACGTACGGAATTAGTCATTTAGTGTTCGAAGAGAGGACGTAAGAATTTAATATATGATAAGATACGAAACTTATTTAAAGGAAAAGAAATTAGAAAATAACCCACAACATTTTCGGAGGTTTAATAGATGTCTAGTT